AGGCCATAAAAAGGATCTGGGTAGGAAGTGGAGCAGCTGAGACTAGAACCAAAGCCCGTATGGGATGTCGGCACAGCAAGGTAGAAGATTAACCTGTTAAACCACCATGGCAACCCCAACTTAGGCATGTTAAAGCTGAAAATTTACATTATGATTGTGTGACTCCAAAATCTATTTTCCCAGAATTTTCTCAGTTGCACAAAATGATGGAAGCTACATCTTATTCTGAGTTCACTAATTAATTCACTCATTCAACAAATGTTTACTGATGCAGGCATTTTACTAGATCTAGGAATACAACGTAAATTCAGAAATGATCTATTTTCAGAGAGAGAATTTAGTTTAATAGGATAGGTGTGGCTAGGGAAATAATGATTTAAAAACAGCGCAGGTGCTTTATTAGCATAAATAATGCAAATTTATTAGGGTCTATGGTTTGGATGATGTGGAGAGATAGCAGAGTGTCAAATAAAAATTTAGAATTCTTATAATTCTCAAAATTAGTTGTAGGGGAAAGGAAGCAGGGACAGCGAAAACTTTTTTGTACCGAGAAGTATAGCTCAAAGATATTTTTCTTTTGGTTGAAAGATCGGAGAGGGAATGAATACCAGACATCAGACTGAAAACCTACTACCTGCCATAAAATAGAATCATTCAGGGTCATGGGGCTCTACACTTAGGCCTGAACCTATAGAATGAGCTTGTGATTATTTCTTGTCCAGGTGTCCAGGTACTGCCATCATACTCTGTGAGGTCTGATGCAGTAAGACCCAGCACCAAATAAAGCTCCAAGGCCTCTATGCCTAGAGAAGTGCTCAGGAGCACAGCTGATACATCTGTGCTGGTATCAGATAGAGACCTGCATCCTGGTAGGAAAGTCTTGTTTTGACCTGTATCACTCTCGGCATCAAGCAGGCCTGTTAAACATCCTGGACTGGGTAGGGTCCTGTGACGATGAGACTCAAGTATAACCCAGCTAGTGTTGACCTGGTAATCTTAGGAACTGCCGCTACCACTTCTCCCCCAGTCTCAAGTAGACAGTAGAATGCTGAAGAGAACGATGCGATTATGAACTTAGGGCTTTGCTAAGTCTTTCACTTAGTCATCTCACTTAGTGAGATGACTGTATCAGATAAAACTGTAAGGGTTCTATCCCTAGGCCAGTACTCACAGGCACTAGATTGGCCTGATATTGATAGAGGTCTGAATACTGATGGGAAAATCTAATCTTGTCCTGGACTATCACAATTGTTATGTAGGCTTGATGTATATCCTGAGGCCAGGTCTCAGTATCTGTGATACATTATTATATCATTTATTTGATACCTTTCCAGTTTTTTAAATATAAACAATAGTTACTATAAACTTTTATCACTGCTTTTGCTGAGTCCTCTAAGTTTGGATATATTGTGTTTTTGTTTTCATTAATTTCAAGCAATAGTTTGATTTACCTTTTGATCTCTATTTCCTAATATTCACTCAGGAGAACAAAAAATGTATTTTTTTTTTAAAGTTTTATTGGAAAGTCAGATATACAGAGAGGAGGAGAGACTGAGAGGAAGATCTTCCTTCTGATGAATTACTCCCCAACTAATGACAGTTGCTGGAGCTCAACTGAAGCAGAAGCCTGAAGCCTCTTCTGGGTTCCCACATGGATGCAGGGTCCCAAGGCTTTGGACTGCCCTCAGTTGCTTTCCCAAGCCATGAGCAGAGAGCTGGATGGGAAGCAGTGATGCTGGGATTAGAACCAGAGCCTATGTGGGATCCCCCTAGACTACTGCACTGGGCCCACAGAGTGTACTTAGTGAATAGAAATAGTAAGAGAAATCTCATTCATAATAGTTGTTAAAATTTCCTGGAATAAGTGTAATAAATGATATTAAGGACATCTACAAAGAAAATTATAAAACATCTAGTAGTGAAATTGAAGAACACACACACATACACAAAAAATGGAAATAATCTCCCATGTTCATGGATTGGAAGAATTAATATTGTTGTAATACTAATCTTACTCAATGTAATTTATAAACTCAATTTAATCCCTTCCAAATTACCAATGAAATTCATTTTAGAACTAGAGAAACAATTTCTGCAGTTTAAGCGCAAAGACCACAAATAGTTGAAGTCAATATTGAACAGAAAGAAAGAAAACGTGGAGGCGTCATACTGCTAGGCATCTATATCTATTTCTATATCTATATCTATATCTATATCTATATCTATATCTATATCTATATCTATATCTATATTCTATCTATATCTATATCCCATCTATATCTATACCTATATCCCATCTATATCTATATCTATACCTACATCTGCATCTGTCTATATTGAACATTGAAACTGATCCCTCATAACTCTTGCCCTATGCAAAAATCAGCTCAAAATACATGAGAGACTTGAATTTAAAAACTGAAGCTGTGAAACAACTGCAAGAAAATAGAGAAAATACTTTCAGACACTGGATAAGCAGAAATTTTGTGTGTTTAAGATTGCAAAAGTACAAGAGGGAAAAATAGACAAATAGGATTGTATCAAACTAAGATTTACATTGTGAAAGAGAAAAAATCCAGTAATAATGAAAAAATGTAGTTAAGAAGGCTCAATAATTTTCTGAAGAAAAATATAAATGGCCAATAAGTATGAGAAAAATGCTTGGTGTTACTAGCCATCACGGAAATGAAAATTAAAACCATAATGAAGTATCATCTCCAGTTAGAAAGGTTGTAGCCAAAAAGTCAACAAGTAAAACATACTAGTGAAGATGTGGTGAAAAGGCATGCACTATTGGTGGAAATTTAAATTGTAAAACTCTTATGGAAAATAGTATGGATATTCTTTAAGAAACTGAAGACAGATCTGTTGTAGGACCCAGTTATTCCATTTCTGGGTATATATCTAAAGGAAATGAAAACTGCATTTCCATATTCAGTGCAGCACTATCTCAGCCTAGATTTGTAGTCAGCTTAGTTGTTTATCAATGAATGGGTGAAGAAAATGTAATATAAAATAGAACATTACTCAGTCACAAAAAATGAAATCATTATAGTTAAATCAAGTGGATGGAACTTCAGATCATTATGTATCTGAAGTAAGCCAGACATAGACCAATATTCTTGTTTTGATCTTGACTCAGAGTAATGAGCAAATAATTTAACATAGAAATAGGAATTGTATATTAATTTTAAAAATTAGGAATTAGAAGCAGTGAGAGGGAAATGGGCGGAAGAGAGAGAAAAAGAGATAGATATCTTTCATCCTCTTATTCATTCATCAAATAGCATCAGTGACTAAGACTGGACCAAATTGAAGCCAAACTGAAACTCCATTCAGGTCTTCCATGTGAATTTCAGTTACACAAGTACCCAAGTCATCTTCTGCCGGCTTCCCCGGATTGTTAACAGGGAGCTGGAGTAGAAGCAGTGCAGCCAGGGCTCAACTGTCCCTCAGTGAGATACCAGTGTCTTATCAAAATGCCAGTCCTTGCAAATTAGATTTTTAAGGGATATTTCCAAAATTAGAACATAAAACCCCATTCCATTATAGATGCTTCTTAGACAGCTTTAGGATTGACATGGTCAAGAGAAAACAATTCTTGGGAAACATTGGTATTTATTTAAATATCTAAGATAATTTGCTGACCCTTCCCCAAAGACTGTTTTTTGGTTGAATTCCCACAATCCCATCTGAGAATTTTTAATTCCAGATTTTAATTGTTTAAAGGTATAGTTTGCTATTAGTGTCAATTGCTTGTTCATGACATGCAGACTGTCTTAGATTATTGTAAAATTCAGTTTCTTTATTTGATAAAGACAGATTAGCTTCTGTTCTTCCTAATGAGTTTTGGATTTCAGTTTCTTTCTATTTCCCAATCCTCCCAACTTATGCCAAAGAGACCTCTATGTCCTTCAGGTAAAAGAGACCTCCTTCAGCCAACACTTCTCTTTTACAGCAGCTGTGATCTCTAAGTCTGAGATTTTTGTGGCAGTGGAGACTGATGGAGAGGGAATAATTTGCTCCATTTCCCTAAATGGAGGTTTTCCTTGTCAAATCCAGCATGAGCACCATTCTAATAAATCTTGCCATCCTAGGTTATGAAAGCTACAATTCAGCTGACATTGCTGTTTCTCTGCCTTGCAGTGTGGCCAAAACTTGGATAGACTATGTTGTCAGTACCAACTATCCTTACCAAACCAAGGTTGTCCTTGAAGATGGCCTGCCTCCTTGTTTACATTTCAAAATTACAAAATACTTTGATTTTGCCTTGCTAGTATTTGTTTGTTTTTCTCTACCCATATCATGTTTAATTTTGCTTTTTTGTTCTCTGGATCCTGGAAATTGACTGTTAGTGTCCATTCAGCCCCTCAGAGGCAGGTTGAATAATATCTTCAAAAGCTCAACCACAACGACAGCCTTCTTGATTAAAACTCCTTTGATAATTTCTCATTTACCACCCCCAAAACATTAAATGCACTTCATGATTTGACTACAGTTTATTTTTCTTTTTTCCTTTATTGCTGTTCCACACTTTGCATTTTCAGTTAAAGCTGTATTACTTTGCATTTTCAGTTAAAGCTGTATTTCCTGCAGTTCTCCTAGGAAGCTGGACATTCAGTTATACTCAATCATTGCAATAGCATCAGGAGTGTTATTAAAAATATTCATCAAATGCTGTGCCATGGGCACCAAACAATCAAAACAGACAACATCCCAATCACAATATAAACAGCTGGCTAAAATCTCATCCCGAGCATTCTCATGAATAACCATATAGCATTTTTTTTAATCAATGTTTTGCTCTCTTATTCAAGTAGAAGCTTCTGGCATGCAGTGCTAGTGACTTGTTTCTGTTCTGTTTCTGGCTATCTTATAGAAACTGATGTTGTTTTTTGCAATTTATTTTTTATTTTGTTTGAAAGGCAGAGATTGACAGAGATCTTCCATCCACTATGTCAATCCCAGATGCCTGTAACAGCCAAAACTGGACTAGTCTGCAGTCATGGTCCCAGAACTTAATCTAGATCTTCCATGTGGGTGGCAGGGACACAACTACTTGGGCCTTCACCTACTTTTAATTAGCAATAATTGCACCTCAGATAAACCTCATTGGCTACAATATTGCCACTGTGCAAAGCTGTCACCTGCTAACTTTCAAGGTGTGCATGAGCAGGAAGCTGGATCAGAGGCAAAGGTGAGACTCAAACCCCATCCTACATAGGACATGGGCATCTAAAGTGGAGGCTTAAACTCTGCTGAATGCCTGTTCATACTGTTTCGAGTTAATCTAAATTCCTGCTGAGGAATCTATATGTGGAATTCTGTGGAATTCTGTTACTCATCCTGTTCTTCTGGTGATCTTTAGACATTGGATAAATAAAAAAAGTGGATATCCTTTGGTGAGATACGTCCCCCTCTATATTTTGGGGAAACAGAGATTTATCTTTTTCATTGTCCTCTACTCCCCAATACACTCATACAGTGAGAGCATGACAGAAAACATTACTACCATCTTAATACTTCATACTATGATTACCTTTTGTGAATTCTGGCTTTACATTTCTCCAGAATTTCTGAATTTTAATCCTTACTTTGCTAGACTTTTTAAAATCCTATTTTTCAGGATATGATTAGACTATAACTGATAATCAAGTTTGTTTATTGGTAAGTTCTTTTCCAAATTATATTCCTGCTGAATGTTCAAAACTCTCCTCATAGGCAAACTCTATCTCTGTATATTTTATCCTTTAAATATTTTATTTTTAAAAAATATTTTAGGTAAATGCAGAAGTTGAATAGCCCTTCTCTAAATGTTCATTTGTCCCAGACTCTCTGGTAGTTAGAGGGAGTATGTGACTATTAGAGGGACTTTATGTGCCACAGTAGTGAACATGGGAAGTGTGTGTTCGCATGAATGATCTGTTTCCTGGGAAAACCCTGAGTGGCTAAGCCATTGTGAGAAGCACAGTTGCCATTCAGAGCCATCTGCCTTGCAGAGGACACAACCTTCACTGTGCTGAACTACTGAAATATTGCAGGCTTTCATGCTAGATGTAACCTCTCCTGACCAACCCAGAAACTGTCAGTTTGGAGTAATGTTAATATGACAGTTGCTACCAGATTAGGCTTCATGAAGCTTCTAGTGGGCAAGCCTTTCTCCTCTATTAGCACATCTGTTGGTTTCTCACTTAAAATATTTTCCGTTAGCCATTTGAGATGGAGGGTAGAGGGAGAGAGAAACAGAGTCATGGGGTGGGGCAGAGCTTCCGTCTACTGCTTCTCTGGTTTATTCCCGAAATGTCTGCAATAGTTCCAGACTGAGGCTGAGGCCGGGAATCAGGAATTCAATCCAGATTTTCCACATGGTTAGTAGAAATCCAGCCAGGTGAGCCATAACTGTTACCTTGGATGGTTTGAATTAGCAAGAAACTGCAAATAGGGGCAGAGCTGAGGACTGAACTTAAGCAATTTTACATGGATATAGTTAACTGCTAGGCTGAATGCCTTTCCCAAGTTTCTCACTCTTTAGCATTAACGTACAGCAAAAGAGCACCATCTCTTTAAGTAAACACTTCCATGTTAAAGAGATTGGCCAAAACAAAAATAGATTTCAGAGGAAACTGCACTTTTGCAATGAACAGAAGAAAAGTTTGGAAAGAATGTCATTTGAAAATTTGGATAAATGTGAGGTGATATTTTATCCATGGAACAAAAAGATGTTGCTATTAAAAGAGTTATAGTAAGATAAAAGAGATTTACAAAAAGCCTTTGGTAATTAAAAAAGGCATAACACAGAAATTAAACCTCAATAACAGTTTGAAAATAAAGTTAGAAAAATGTTTCAAAAGAAATGAAACACAATTATTAGAGAGTGAAGTGGAGTGAAATGTTGAAAGAGTGCTAAATTCTCTGGCTGCAAAATAAAGTATCGATAATAATTTTAAGTTTACTTAAATGAGAACTCTTTGGCTATATTCATGAGAAACAGATTGTGGCTGAGTGAAATATTGAAATATAATGTTAAAGGAAACTTGAGACGGAAGAAGAGCTATACAGGATTGCTCATTTTCATGACCTTTATTAGAGCAACTTTCAAAACTAGCTACAAATATTAATCAGATAAAAAGAAATTATTGTTAAATGTAAATTTCTAATTTATTTTCCCATTTAAACCTAGCTTTATTACCCATCAGGTTACTCAACGTTGGGCCAGATAACTCTTTTTATGTGGGCTGTCTTGTGGATTGGAACATTCTTAGCTGCTCCTGACTTTATATATGCCGATAATACCTGCCTCCTTCCTTCAGTCATTGTGATTAAAAGAGTCTCCAGACATTGTCAAGGATCCCCTGGGAGGTAATACTGAGTTCCATTTAAGAGCCATTATTTTAAGACTACACAACATTAGCATTAAATGCAAACAAACAGACACAAAAGCTTCAAATATTCATGAACAATGTGTCAAAAACAGAATACACTTTGAATTGTAGGATTTCTTAAAATTGACTTTGATAACTTCTGTACATTTAAACTTCTGTGATGTATTGTGTTTTATGGCTAATGTTGTTTGCCTAAAATTAAGACCCTAATACCCACTGTGTACTTTGGCTTTCATTTTGGCTTCAGTGAATTGATTAGCAAGTCTAACACAGGAGGCATTGAGAACCCCCTTGGCTCCCTGCTGGATGCTGTGTACACCCCTCTTGCTCCGAAGTTGCAGAATAATAATCTCCTGTTCTAAAGTGGAAACCTAAGTATGGAGGGGATGTAATTAAAAAATAACAAGCTGTGTATTTTGGTTACCACAGCAGCGAGTTTGGCTTTGTGTGCTCGAGCTATTTGGAGGAAGATCCCGCAGTTCTAACAGAATTCCTCTGTGTCTATGTTAATCAATGCTCTTATGGTCAATCAGAAGTTTCACTGATGCTTTCATGCTGATAGAGTAACTCTGTCTGCTATGAATAAAATAATAATATGGGGAAAGCATAATGAATGACAGTTGCAATTCTTAATGATTACAGCCTTCAAGATGGAGAGACTGGCATCCTTGGTTAAGGAGTTATCACCCTGATTTCTTTTTACTTTGAACATATGACATTCTGGATTTCACCTAGTTTGTGTGGAGGAACACGTTAGATAGTACACTTATAGTGTATGGAATTGAGTATAATATTTCCTCACTGTCCAGGGGCATCTTTTTGGCCCCCACATGAAGAGACTCTATAGCAGTGTAAAGCAGAGAAATCTTAAAAGAGGTTTTACTAGTGATTAAAATGCTGATTGGTTTTTTAAAACATTAAGTTAATCTATTTCATTTTTTTAAATAAAAAATCCTTTTTTTTTTAAATTTGAAAAGCAAACAACACACACACATACAGTGCATTTCTATTGCTGGTTTACTCCCTGAATGTCTGCAACAGCTGGGTCCAGGAACTCACTCCATGTCTCCCACGTGGGTGTCAGGGACTCAGCTACTTGAGCTATTATCCTTCCTGGGTCTGCATTAGCAGGAAGTAGGAATCAGAAGTGAAGCTGGTGTTTGGTCTTGGGTACTACAGTATGAGATGTGGATGTCTCAAGAGGCATCCTCAAGAGGCATACGACAAACATTTGCCTTTATGCCCTAAGTTTTTAAAAATGATAAGTCCTTTATGGGATTTGGGTACATTTTTATTCCACATCCAAATATATTCTAATTTCTTATTTGTTAGAAAGAAGTTTAACAGATACATACACATTATAAATAATTATGGAGTACTATATAATGCTTTCATGTTTGTATACAATGTAAAATGCCCAGAGTAAATATATATATCTCAAATATTCAATAATTCTTTGTGGTAAAAACATTTAAGTTTCTACCTTATAAGTTTCTTTAAGTAAAGAAATATGCCAAATGTTTGGCATTATAGTCACTGCGCTGTGCAATAGAACAACAGTTACCTAGCTATGATTTAGTACTCATTAGCCAATCTTTCCATATTTCTTCTTCTTTTTTCCCTCCCCAGCCTTTGTTCACACTAATATGTTAACTTGTGTTGGATTTTCTATTCTTTAGACTCTGCATATGGATTGCATCATGTGCTGCTTGCCTTTCTGTTCCATCCATGTTGCTGTGAATGACAAAAATGTCTTCCTTTTTATGGCTGGGTAATATTCCATTGATAAATGCGTATACCACTTTTTTTTCCTACTCCTTAGTAGGTGGGAACATAGGTTGTTTCCAATTCTTAGCTATTGTGAATAATTCTGCAATAATCATACAAGTACAGATACCTCTTTGGCAGATTGATTTAATTTCCCTTGAACATATGCTCCATGGTGGGATTGTTAGATCATAAGGTCATTCTGCTTTTAGATTTTGAGGAACCTCTGCTCTTTTCCATAACGGATGTACTAATTATATTCCCATCTAGGGTGACAAGAGTTCCTCTCTCGTCATCATCTTTAAAGGGCACATTTCTTTATTTGAAAATCAGAGTTAGAGAGAAAAGGAGAGCTCTTTCATTTGCTGTCCTGCTCCTCACATGGGCTCAAACCAAGATCCAGGGGCTTCATCTGGGTCTTCCACATGAGTAGTAGTGGACCAAGCACTTGGGTCTTCTTTCATTGCTTTTCCTAGGCCATCATTAAGTAGCGGGGCGAGAAGTGGAGGATCCAGGACACAAATTGGCACCCATGTGGAATCCTGGCATCAAAGGTGGCAGCTTTATGTGCTGTGACACAGTGCTGACTGCTCTTCACCAGTTTTTGTTTTTCTTTTTGGTAATATCCATATATATTCATATAATATAATGTATATATTTTATTAACCCTTTCTCAACAGTATTCCTTACTTAAATCCTGTAGATTGTCTCTTGACTCTATTTCATTCTTCAGAATTCTTAAGCTTGATGAAATCCAATTTTTTTGTGCTTTTTTTGAGTGTTGTACTTTTGTGATCTTATTGGGGAAAAAAATCCTGGACTATTTCTATGTTCTGAAATGTTTCCCCTATGTTTTCCTTTAATATTTTCAAAGCTTTAGGTATTATATTTAGGCTTTACTCCATTTAGAGTTGACTCTCATACATACCATACCATACCTCTCTATGGTATGGTTGACTCTCATACCATACCTCATGGTGAGAGGTAGGGCCT